TGGCAAGTGGAGAATAAATACCACCCCGTTATAGAATTATTATAACCACGATATAGTATCGCTTTGTACATGGGTGAATTCAGATATAAACTTGTAGAAAGCTCCTGACTCATTCCAACTTGATCTATTTTTACAGGAGACCAAAAATGGTGTATTGCAGCTACATCTGGGCTGGAGCTACACAATCCTCACCTTCCAGTTTTGACAAAGCCCAAAAGCGTCTACGTGGACTTGTAGATGATGCTGTCTCTTTTCTCGCTCTTCTCACTTGTGGAAATCTCTTCTCATTTAACTTTGATTTTCAGTTATCTATTGTCTTCTTGATTATTCTTCTACTGTTCTTACGCCTTAATAACGCCACTCTTTTTTCTTATTCTTTCACACTCAGTAACCTCTTGCGTGTTAGTGGCTTTACTGCCTTGCAGGGAGAAATTTATATATATATATATATATATATATATATATATATATATATATATTTGGTTGGATAGATGTGAGTTTGTGACCCTGGGTTTCACGCTTTAGCGTTTGTCAGACAAACGCTAAAGCGTGAAACCCAGGGTCACAAACTCACATCTATCCAACCAAATATGTCAGCTCTATCTCTAATATTGAGCGCTTTCTAATAAGTACAGCGTATATAATATATAAATAATTATACATATATATATTTATTTATATTTATATACACTTTTCATATATATATATATATATATATATATATATATATATATATAATAATGGTTATTGAATAGAGGCTTTGGGTATTTTGTGGGGGGGTGTCTTCTTCTGTCACATGGTTTTATGCTTATTAGTTTTTAATGGTCTTATGAATAAATACTGTTTCGTCATATCCTTTTTAGCCAGTTTACCCTGAAGATCCGTTTAGGTGAAACCTAGGTCGGTTTTCCTGGCTCTTTAGGATTTATTTTATTCATTCCCGCCCTACTTACCGTATTGAGCACTCTACGTTTTAGCTTTACTACTCGCTTGTTTTTTTCTTCTTCTTTGGTCTAAAGACTTAAGGCACTGGACGGTCTGTTTCGACCTGTTCAAATGTTTTTAGTTCCTTATTTTATTTTTATCCAATTTTTTTATCGGGTACCGATTTGTTTTGACATATCTGCAAGTTGTGCTATCCGAGCTATTTTTCCAACCGAGTATTATTATTAATATATATATATATATATATATATATATATATATAGATAGATAGATAGATAGATATATATATATATATATATATATATATATATATATATATATATATATATATATACAGAGTAACTTGGATATAAGAGAGTTGTCGGGACCGGCGAAGAAGTCTCTTATATCCGGGTTTTCTTATATCCGGGTTTGATCTATTTTATATACATTAACACAGGCTCTAATTTGGGACCAGAGAAAATCTCTATAATATCCAGGTTTCTCTTATATCCGGGTCACACTGTATATATATATATATATAATAATAATAATAATAATAATAATAATAATATATATATAAAATTTATCACTGTCAAACTACGATGGCTAAAGAAGAAATTAACTGAACGGACACTTGGACAAGCCATCGTCTCATAACCACTCTACCTGTTTTGACATAACTGCAAGTAGTGCTATCGAGCTATTTTTCCAACCCAACCGAGTATTATTATTAATATATATATATATATATATATATATATATATATATAATACTAATACTAATAATATAATATATATATATATATATATATATATATATATATATATATATATATATATATATATATATATATAAAAATTTATTACTGTCAAACTACGATGGCTAAAGAAGAAATTAACTGAACGGACACTTGGACAAGCCATCGTCCCATAACCACTCTACCTGCTTAAGCATTTATAGAAAAAAATGCTACAGCCATTGTTAACTTTATTTCCGGGTCTACGGGACTGGAATCATTTTCCTTCTCGCGAGATCAAAAAAAAAAAAAAAATTAATGTGCATATATCTGGTCCCTCGCCACTCTAGTTCTTTGCTGTAAAGAGGGAAGGTCGCCTGTACGCTTTTCGGCCCAAGGCGCTTGAATTGGGCAATTTTTGTCTTTACCTACATTACAATGAGACCTTGTGTTGTTAATGCCCTCATTGAATGGATAATAAATGCGGGACCAATCAATCACATTAGCGTCGCTTTCATCTCTCTCCAGACTGGAGTAATGACAAACAGGAAACAGGGGAGAGGGTGGCTCAGAGATAATCGCCTTCAAGGCCAAGTAAGAGAAGCGGGTAAATTAACAGAACGGGCTCGGGGTGGAGATCCGTGTTTAAGTGCTTGCACTCATATGTTGAAACATCCGAGTGATAACGGGCAATTTACGGGGGCAGTGTAACAGCTGTAAAATGCGGAACCAATAAAAAAAAAAAAAAAAAAAACAAAAAAAAACGCAGAGAATTCTTTTTTGTTTCTTTGCATCTACCCGTTCCAATTGCAAAATAAAATTTAAGAGATAGATGGAAAAGTATTTGTCCTGTCGTGTTGTCTTTGAAAATAATATAAAGTTGATTTTTTTAAAATTTTGATTAATTTAAACAAGATATTTGTCCACTTCACTTCTATACTTCTAAGTTTCCGTCTGAAATCGGAAATTTTATTTACTAATTATTTTTTCTCTCCTCAATTGCAGTAGAAATGTTCGCTTATCGTCCGTTTTACACATCTCCCCGGTTTTTTGAACAGGAGTAGATGTTTAACCTGTATTTCCTGTTTAGGATTAGGTTTCCGGTTTCTTCTATAATCTTTTCATTCTATTTCACTCCCAGTAGATCATTGCGTCTTAGTGGCATTATCGTCTTCCTTGGGGTGGAGTGATTAAAAAATAAAGTAATTTAAATATTTTTAATTTTTCAATAAGAATTTTACGCACCAGTTTCTTTTTTCTTATTAAAATCGTTTCAATTGTAGAACTATTTAAATTTCTTGATACTGAAAATTCGTGACCTGACACAATTCCAAACTTTTTTTAAGGCGCATAATTTGCAATTACTCTGGATTAAAAAAAAAACAAAAAAAAACGTGTGTGATCCTGGCGAAACACATACTTAAATGTAATTAATGTTCGCTCAGCATAGTTGAAGTATAAACTATAGGTTGGCTCTGTGGATATTGAAGAAACACAAATGAACCTGAGCAAGGTGGACATTCTCGATAAAGGGCGGTAATGTTGAAAAAAAAAAAAGAAATGATACTGATTTAGAGTTTGCTTTCAAGTCGAAAAAGTTCTGACGATGAAGGCTTTTTTTAAAAAATCATTTCAGCCCCAAGAAAGGCGATGATACCAGTAGGATGCAAGGGAGTATATATAATGAAATAGAATGAGAAAACTTTAGTGAGGAGAAATAAGGAAAAAGACAATAAACGAACAACATTCAGAAAATCGAAAAATGCCGATTGATGTTGCATTTAAATCTTTGAAGATTGTATATGCGTTAATATCTTCCCGTCGTCATATTCATCGAGTGTTCATGTCTTCCACTGAACCAGAATAATATGTGATTTTACAGTATAGCTAGCCTCAGAATTGAACTCGCAACTGCAGAATATGATCTAGCCAACCTTTTAATCCGGAAGGTCATGTGTCTCTTGAATAATATAGTGTTGATATTCCGGAGCTTAAATATCTGTTCTCAGGTGGTGGGTCTTTATGAGTTTCCTAAGGTGGTGGATTTTTTCTTAGTGTTTTTGTTTTCTTCATCGGAATCTCCCAGACGGTCTTTATCTCTATGCTAGGTCTACTGAGGGGATTGTTGGTGCCTAACATATATGCTTATTCTTCCAGTCGTCTTATCCTCCAGTGTTATTTCAAATTTATTTCACTTTTGTTATGTGTTACACTCTTTAGTTCCGCCAGTCCAGACCGTCTTAGCTTTGTCACGTACTGGAACGAATCATTCGCATTATTTTCGTATTCCATTAGTAAGAAAGAAGTTTCATTGAAACAGCTTCTTCTCAAGAACCGCTGCTTTGTGGAACAAACTCTCAAGAGGATGCCTCCATCTCCATAGTAACAATCTTGGAGTCTTCAAGTCTGCGGTAAACCGTTATCTTTCCTACATATACACATAATCTACATATCTTAGATCCTCCATTTACGTCCATATGACAATATCATCCAGTAACCTTCTACCTTGAGTGGCTCCTGGGCTTCGTACTGGGTAAATGATTAGTAAAAGAAATGGCAAAACACAACGACATACTTTGCACTAGAGAATGAAAATAGGACTCTGAATTTCAGAGATAAGGAATTATTATTATTATTATTATTATTATTATTATTATTAGTAGTAGTAGTAGTAGTAGTATTTACCTTACTTACATTCGGACTAATGTCTTTAACATTTATTTGTAAAGAGAGGGACAGTAATATAAATAATGAAAATCCCCCATCGATATAACCGCCATAGCAATACAACGGCAAGCGATATTTTTTTAATAAAGTTCGTTAAAACGAAACACGCCTAATATTATCTAAAGAGAAGCAGAACAATCGTGTGGTTAATCTGATAATAAAATGTGAGTTTTGCGATGAAAAAGCAACAAAAATAAGTAAAGCAAATAAACGTTAATGGAGTTTCTCTGGGGATCGTGGGGGACATAGTGTAATATCTTTCTTTCATCATTTGCAAGTCCATTAGATCGTCTCTGGCGAGAAGTGTACAACAGATTGTCAACAGGGAATCCACGACATAATTTTGAATTCCAGCTTTGTTTATATTCCGTACCGTTAGCCTAATATACGACATTGAAATCCGAATTGGAATAGAAAAGATGCCTTCCAAAAGTTACTTAAAGTACTAGGAAACAAGAAAAAAGAAAAGAGTACAGTAATATCAATCCTGCTATATGAAAGCGAATGCTAAACAAAATCTCAGAGATGAAGTGAAGACTGGAGGCAACAGAAAGGCAACAGGTGCGTTCGTATCTATCAACTGGTTCATGTTTGTCCCTCGACAGTTTCATGCCTGTCCGTCTTATACCGGTTTATATCTGTGTGTCTGCATTGCGTTCATCTGGTTCCTGTGCGTTCCTTGATCGGTTCATGTCTGTCTGCCCGTCGGCCATGTCTCTGTGCCCATCTGACTTTCAATGGATTCGTGTTTGTTTTGACCGATTCGTGTCTATCTCTCAGTTGGTCTGTCTGCCTTGCAACCGGTTCGTGTCTAGCTGTATAGCGTCTGGTTCATGTTTATCTGTTTTTTTTTTGTTGTTGTTTACGTCTGTCTGGTGTCTGCCTGTTTCATCCAGTTCGTGTTTGTCTCTTAACTTGTTCATGTCTGTCTATCGCCTGGTTCATGTTTGCCTTTCTCTCGATTGGTTCATATCTGACGCTCGACCGGTTTGTGTTTGTCTCTTAGCCGGTTCGTATCTATCTGTCCTTCTTACTGTTGGTGTTTTTCCTATCTCTCAGTCCATTGGTACGACCGGTTCATGTTTGTGCGTCTGTATAACATTCACCTTGTCTTTCTTGATCGTGTCATGTCTCTTGGCCGGTTCGTGTCTCTCGGCCGGTTCGTGTCTCATGGCCGTTTCGTGTCTCTGTCTCTCGACCGGTTCGTGTCGAACCTGTCAGTCGCGCGTCTGGTTCGTGTCTCTTGGCCATTTCATGTCTCTCTGTCTCTCGGCCGGTTCCTGTCTGTCTCATGGCCGTTTTATGTCTCTCGAACGGTTCCTGTCTGTCTCTCGGCCGGTTCGTATCTGCCTCTTGACCGTTTCGTGTCTCTCGACAGGTTCGTGTCTGTCTCTCAGCCGGTTCGTGTCTGTCTCGTGGCTGTTTTGTGTCTCTCGACCGGTTCCTGTCTGCCTCTCAGCCGGTTTCTGTCTGTCTCATGGCCGTTTTGTGTCTCTCGACCGGTTCCTGTCTGCCTCTCAGCCGGTTCCTGTCTGTCTCATGGCCGTTTTGTGTCTCTCGACCGGTTCCTGTCTGCCTCTCAGCCGGTTCCTATCTGTCTCATGGCCGTTTTGTGTCTCTCGAACGGTTCCTGTCTGTCTCTCGGCCGGTTCCTGTCTGTCTCTTGACCGTTTCGTGTCTCTCCGTCTCTCGACCTGTTTCTGTCTGGATCTTGGACGGTTTGCGTCTGTCTCTCGGCCTGTTCGTGTTTCTCTGTCTTTTGAACTGTTCATGTTTCCTTGACTTTCGATTGGTTTGTATTTATCTGCCTGTCAATCGGTTAGTGTCCATCTGTCTGACTAACTCTCAATTGGTTTATGTGGCTAACTGGCTGGCTGGCTGGCTCTCGGCCAGTTTCATTCCTTGACTCTTGGCTGCTTCGTGTCTGTCCCTTGCCCGTTTCCTCTCTGTTTATATCATTATTGAATAAATGTTAATTCAAAAACTAATAAACCAATTCGACAAATATGTTTACCAGTCGGAATGAACATTTTTCCCTTTTATTCTTTTCCTCCCCTGACTTGCTTGTCATGTCACAGTGACAAGTTTGAATATTACTTTCCGGATGTGTTTTCTGTGCGTCTTACTCAAGGGCCTAAGGACATTCCAATCACGCCTGGCTCAAGTTATCAAATATCCGACAGAAGAAACTGAAATGTGGATAGGGACGAACCCTTCAACTGCAAAAGTTTTTCAAAAATACCACTCCAGCATCAGTAACAAACAGTACGGATGTTTGAACGCAATGATATGTAGAAAAGCATTTTTCTTGCTATGAATGTTAAGGCTGCTCAACTCACTGGGGAGTAGCGGTTAGCAAGTGATTTCCTCATATGCTTATGACTGTTGTGAGTAAAGTTATTATAACTGGATTCCTCGCATTTAAAAATTCGCACATCACGATTTATTTGACAAATTTTTACTTGAATAATTTTGCTACTCTTATTTAATTAAATTACAGTCAACTGCTATTCGAGGTAGTTTCATCCCAAATCGCAAATTTCTACAAAACTAAAATATCAACCTGAGAACTTGAGTCATATTAAGACTTTCATATGAATATCCTACATGGCGCCAAACCCGTCCAGAAATATCTAAACTGTCGGCTGTATACAACCGCTTTTAATGGTTAACATTGGCTTTGAGCAAATGAAGTATTTGGTTCTTTACAAAAACCACACTTCTTGCGGACTGGCGCTACAGAATCACAAACAAAGACCTGTATTAGATAACAGAAACCACATCACTTGGGAACTTTCAACAGAAGCAACAGCTAATATATATATATATAACATATATATATATAACTATATATATATATATATATAACTATATATATTTATATATATATATATATATATATATATATATATATATATATATATATATATACATATATATATATATATATATATATATATATATATATATATATATATATATATATATATATATATATATATATATATATATATATATATATATATATATATATATATATATATATATATATATATATATATATATATATATATATATATATATATATATATATATATATATATATATATATATATATATATATATATATATATATATATATATATATATATATATATATATATATATATATATATATATATATATATATACACATATAATATATATATATATATATATATATATATATATATATATATATATATATATATATATATATATACATATAATATATATATATATATATATATATATATATATATATATATATATATATATATATATATATATATGACATATAACGCGTAGAGACAGTAATGACATAATCAAAATATTGACATTCCATATTATTTCAAATAAAGGGTTAAGAAGGAAACCGCCATCAATATTGGAAAGAGCGATAACAGCTACTGGACTTTTGAAACCTATTTTCTTGAAAAATTGTTTTAAGAGAAAGGTTTTATAAATTTAACAGAAACACAAACTGCTCTGTCAGCGAATGCTGAATATTTCCTTATGAGGAAAAGGCAGATATAATTATTAGGATCTTCACAAAAAATGCGATACCAAAGTTTTAAATGAATTTTTAAAAAAGAAAAAACTTTCTTGAAACTTTTATTTTAGTTTTAATTTTACGCTAATAGATTACATTTAATATTTTCAAAAATACTTTGCTGTATTTCAAAAACTAATTTAAATTGACTGGAAGAATGTTTTTTTCTAAAATAGCTGATTAGCGCCCCTTTTTTAGTCGCCTTTCTTCGCAAAGTAAATCTCTTTATTAAAAATTCTTCCAAAGATAAACTGTACTTTTCTGAAAATTTATTTGAGGAATATTATCTAATATATCGAACCTGTCGAGAAACAAACACGAATCTGTCGAAAGATTCACAAGTACGAATTATCTGTCTATATCTCTGAGATGAGGTATAATGATTACTTACATTATTCGGACTGCTATCCTCATATTTACAGCACTTCGGCTGATGTCCGCTCTGGCTTTCTTCAGGTGATTAGAATTTCGAACCGAACCCAGTTAGATTCAGTGACTAAACCCAATGTGTTCAATACCAAGCTACAGCAGTGGTGAACCAAAAACTTGGAGAGATGAGTTAAAGGGAAATAACTGAGACATCCGGAAGAGGCACGGCACGTGGAACTAGAACAATCTACCCCAGTGGACGAAATAAAGGGTTCGCTCGACATTCCAATCACCTGAAGAAGGCCCGAGCGTACACCGGCCGAAACGCCGTGAATATGGAAATGAAGATGAGGATAACAGTCCGAAGTATGTAAATAATGTAAGTAAGCATGAATTATTCGATGGACAGGCACACACAAACAGGCGGAGACACAAACACGAATCAATTTAAACACCAACCAGTTTTACAGGCATACAGGTATGGTATAAACCAGCCGGAAGAGAGACGTATACCGACAACCCCCAACCCACAAAGAGAAAGAGTTGCAAAGAGAGAGTCGACGTAGGTTGGTCTAAAGAGATTTATAGAAATATGAACATAGACTGACATTGCTAGACTGAGACTGATTCACAGAAAAGAGAACACCAAAATAGATATAATAACCTTCTAAATATATTATTTGTTGGGAGAAGTGTCGTTGATTTTATAATTTTCTTGTGTGTACGTTGCGGAGAACAATACTTTTTTCTATTGAAGAAATCAGTGTACTTTTCGGTCAATCTATTATGGACAGGTTGCGGTTGCTGGACGTATAAATGTGCATTTATGATAGATTTGTTTTTGTACAGCTTTTCTGTTTCCAGTTTATTTAAATCCAGAAAATATTTTTTGGTGGGGGCAATAATAATGATTTGCTGATACAAGCCTTACTAATTAACCCATAGCTAGTGAGAAGTGGCGGATTCATATCTTTCCTAAGGGTATTTGCGCGTAAGTAAATATAATTACCCCAGACCTCAAACTCGTATATATGTTCCATCGCTGAAGATGAAGGAAAGATGGTCGGTTCCGTCTATCGCTTCAGTAAGTACTTGACACCTTGTACTACCGTCCATCTTTACAAGAGCCATATCAGGTCTAAAATAGAATACTGTTGTCATATTTGGGAAGAGGCTGTTTAGTTCTCACTTCCCAGTCTTGATAGTGTCAAAATGCATCTCCACATCCTTGTGGGTGAGAAATTAATTTCCATCCTGTAACCCCTCTCTCAGAGATGAGGTATTGCAATCCTCTCACTGTTCTGTTCGCTACTTCCATGGAAAGTGCTCGGTCGAACTGCATTTCTTGGTTTCAGCAGTTCTAACCTTCCCGGCTAGGCCCCGCCATGCCACTCACATTGGAGCAAACTACTCTTATTCCCTCCATATTGCATTGGTGATCTTCTTACCGTGAACCACTCTTCTGTGGAACTGTTGTAGAGTAGTTTTCCCAGTGAAGGCTTGTATTTCGCTAAGTCGGTCCTAAAATGGTCCGACGTACAAAACGTTAGGAACTTGCAAATAATAGTTAATAACATCGACTGACTCACTCAACACCATTCGGTATTTATCATTTCACCCACGGGAAACGAATATGGCACAAGGCCGGTTTTATTGTGGGTTTCTCCGAGCCCGTAGGCTCGGCCAAAAAAAATAGCCTTTGAAGCCGATTAGACGGGTTCAGGCCCCGTCAACCTCCCCGGACGCCTTTGCCCTTCGGCAAAGCCTCGTTTGGTTCCTCTTGCTAACGCAGAGAGTTAGACAGGAGGCATGGTTCAGAGACCGCGAGACGCCATTCGGTATTTATCATTTCACCCACGGAAACGAAATGGCACAAGGCCGGTTTTATTGTGGGGTTTCTCTGAGCCCGTAGGCTCGGCCAAAAAAATAGCCATTTTTCGATTAGACGGTTCAGGCCCCGTCAACCTCCCCGGGCCCTTCTCGTCTGGTTCCTCTGCACAACGCAGAGAGTTAGACAGGAGGCGTGCGCAGTCAGAGACCGCGAGACGCCATTCGGTATTTATCATTTCACCCACGGAAACGAATATGGCACAAGGCCGGTTTTATTGTGGGTTTCTCCGAGCCCGTAGGCTCGGCCAAAAAAATAGCCTTTTGAAGCCGATTAGACGGGTTCAGGCCCCTGTCAACCCTCCCGGACGAAAGTTTGCCCTTCGGCAAAGCTCGTCTGGGTTCCTCTCCGCTTACGCAGAGAGTTCGACAGGAGGCGTGCGCAGTCAGAGACCGCGAGACGCCATTGGGTATTTATCTTCTCACCCACGGAAAAGAATATGGCACAAGGCCGGTTTTTATGTGGGGTTTTCGTAGGCTCGGCCCAAAAATAGCCTTTGAAGCCGATTAGACGGGTTCAGGCCCTGTCCACCTCCCCCCGGACGAAACCTTGCCTTCGGCAAAGCTCGTCTGGTTCCTCTTCGCTTACGCAGAGAGTTCGACAGAGGCGTGTGCAGTCAAAAACCGCGGGACGCCATTGAGTATTTATCTTCTCACCCACGGAAAAGAATATGGCACAAGGCCGGTTTTATGTGGGTTTTCCTGAGCCTGTAGGCTCGGCCAAAAAATAGCCTTTTGAAGCCGATTATACGGGTTCAGGCCCCTGTCCACTCCCCGACGAAACCTTTGCCTCTTCGGCAAAGCCTCGTCTGTTCCTCTACGCTTACGCAGAGAGTTCGACAGGAGGCGTGCGCAGTCAAAGACCGCGGACGCCATTGTGTATTTATCGTTCCACCCACGAGGACCGAATATGGCACAAGGCCGGTTTTAATGT